GTTATTGAAAACGAAAACATTTCGATTGACAAATTAGTCGGTATTCTCAACACAACAATTATAGGACTTGAACAGCGGAACTTTGTAACTAAACAAGAAATTATGTCTATTTAATAGAATTAAAGGAGAAGTATTATCACATGAAACGAAGCAACTTACATTGAAGGAAATGTTTAATAAAGTAAACAAATAAATATTAAGCTTTTTCTTTTTGTAAATTTTGATACCCTTTAGATCATAATTGTTCTTTATTTCATAAATTACGGTTTCATATTTTTAATTTTGTAATTTCTGCATGCCATCTTACCAGATTTAAACTGATGATCTATAATCCGGAAAAATCGATAATCCGGAATCGCCGAAGTCCCGACGAGTCCGGATTAACGACTTTTGACTGTATAATACTCTTCAATAAGAAGAATAAAAGCTCCGATGAACCTAAATCTTATCGTCCGATAAATCTTCTCCCAGCCCTGGGAAAAGTTTTGGAAAGATGTCTTATTGGTCGTCTAAAATTTCATGTTTACAGCAAAAACTTAATAAGCAATAACTAGTTTGGATTTCGAAGTCTACTTTCAACAAGTCATGCAATTAATGCAGCTCTTGAACAAGTCAGAAACAATAAAATCAATCAACTTCCTTCTGCAATAATATGTCTCGACTTAAAATCAGCTTTTGATTCTTTATGGTGGCCAGCAGTTTTACAAGCGCTGCGTTCTTTTAAGTGCCCTCAAAATTTATTTCTAATTATTCAAGATTACTTCAGAATCAGAAAAAGTATGATTCTTTACAACAACACTGAAATTGTGCGTAATCAAGTCCGAGGATGTCCTCAGGGGTCTTGCATGAGTGCAGATCTCTGGAATATCAGCTTCAACAACAACATTCATTGCCTATCCATGGCCAGATCACTCAAAAATTGTAGCTTTTGCAGATGATGTAGTTTTTATTACAAGTGGCCGTACCAGAGACATTTTACACGGAATAATTGCAAACGAAACACTCCAGTTATTTAACCAACTTTGCAAAATTCAAAAACTACAAATTTCACATAGTAAGTCCCAAGTCTTAGTGATCCATAAACCAGGACAAAATATAACTAAAGCTTTAGCTCTAAAAATTGACAATGAAAAAGATCAAATCCGTGAACACAATCAAGTACCTCGGTTTAACAATCGACAAGAAATTCTCCTGGATTCCTCATCTACAAATATTAAACTTCGTACAACATCAATAGCTAACTGCCTACGATGTATGCATGGATATAACTGGGGCTTAAATCCGCATATACACGTATTCTTCTAAAAACAGTCATCTCAAAAATGGTAAATTACGGAGCCGGAATTTGGGCACAACCAATGACAGTAAGAAAGATTAAATGTTTAAATTCAATTCAAAGGCCTTTTACTCTTTGCATTACTCGGGCATATCGCACAACTTCAAATATAGCACTTGATACTCTAGCTGGTACTCTTCCGTTATCAATCAATCAGTGGCAGAAATGGAATGCACCTATACGAAAGTTCTCCAACTTAACCAAGCCGCAGAATTCAACAACCAAACCTTTTGGCCATCCAACTATGAAAAGAAAATTAACCCCAATCTTATCCATCCAGCGCTTCGCTTCAGCAAAATAATTTTCACCACGTCTGAAGAAAATTCAAGTTCATCTCCAATTGCTTATACTGATGGATCAAAAATTGAAGGAAAAATTGGTTCCGCAGTCTTTTTTCAAATTGCCCCCTCAAATATCATCAAATGGAAAGGCCATCTCCATAATAATAATAGTGTTTTCCAAGCGGAATTGTCAGCTATAAAAGCAGCGATTGAAATAGCCATTCTCAAAAATCTCAACAAATTTAGCATAAAATCTGACTCCCAAGCAGCTATTCTAGCTATTAAAAATCCCTTACCTTCCTCTCCATTGATATCCGACATAAATTCTCTTCTTGGAAAAATCCCAAACTACAAAATTCAAATCTCATGGATCAAAGGACATAGTGGCCATTTTGGTAATGATCAGGCAGATGAATTAGCCAAAGAAGCAGCTATTAATCAAGATGGTACTGAAATCATCATTCCGCGGCCTCGCTCGAATTTCAAGTACCAACTAAAACAACTTGCTTCAAAATCTTGGCAAGATTTGTGGAACAATGCTCCACAGGGAAGACGCACATATAACTTGATGCCCAATGTAAGCTTAGCATCTCTGAACTCGAATCCTTCCCTAAATTACTTTATAACAGGACATGGACCCTTCCCCACATATTTCTATGCAAGAAATTTGGCAAACTCTGACATCTGCATATGTGGGGAACAGGGAACTCCTGATCACTACGTTTTCTCATGCCCCTTAACTGAGGATATTCACATAAAATTTCCAAGAACTGACCTCCTGGCATTCCAAAGATTTTTAATTAAAGATAAACATCAATATCCAAAGTTTCAGAAAATTATGCAACGACTCTCTTCCTACGGCGTCGATCTCTGTCAAGTGTAAATCCACATACAGTTTAAACTTAGTGAACTTTTACATGCTGTAATTATGGACAAAATGGATCCGCTCGTGAACTGAACTTTATAAACTGCAATAAACCAATATATCTGAAGTAACCCATGGACACCTACCTCTTTAGCATTATTATAACAATTCATTTAACATTGTGTTGCCAGTACTAATTATAATTATCTCATTATGTTTATTTGTTTATTAATTATGTTTATCTCCTATTTTTGTTGCACCAAATCAGATGTTCAATTTATCTTGTGAATCTCAAATTGTATTCCTACTATTTTGTAATCTACTTATGCCCTACACCATTATTTTTAATAAATACTGGATGCGGGGCGTACTGTGGAATTGCACGATGTACCATAATAGGCAAACTTTAGACCTTTTGAAAAGCTTCAGTTTATGCAAATTCTTATAAAACTTGCAATTACCACCCCCCCTTTTTTTCCCCTCAAAGAGTTAGTATGGGAAGGCATTACCAGTTGACCTATGGTACATCGCTGGTGTCCCCCATACTTTTACCTTTACCTTTACCTCTCTTTCTCAAATGGTTTCTTTAACCCCGCTCTATGTTCTAACTTCCTCGTATCTCTTCGCAAAGCCTCATACCTGTCGCATTTCTCTGCTAAAATGGAAGCTGTTTTAAACTCTTCCCAATTGTCTAAGTAGTGCTCTCTTATTTCTAGAGGGACTCGCGGCTTAATTTGCTCAGCATAAGTTTTTTAAGACTTTCAAAATCTTGAACTTCTACTGAATCCAACCAATTCTCTAAATACACTCTCAATTCATACACTAAATCCACCCATAACATTCTGTTTTTTCTAGAATATTCTTCAAATTTCGTTTTTAGTGCCCAAGAACTAAGCTTGAATCTCTGCATGAGTAATTTCTTAACATGCTGATAATCATCCCCTTTATCCGCTGGTTCTTTCACTATTAACTGGGCTACATCGTAAGGTAATAAAGGAATTAATTGCGAGACCCAATCAATCTCATTAACGTTCTCTTTTTGAGCTTGTTTCTCAAATAGCGTAAAGAATAATGAAATATCTATATTACTTGGTTCAAAACGCGGTACTAGATCTTTCAAATTAACCTTTTTTTCTCTAGATTGTTCAACTTTCGAAACCGTGGAAGCTAGGCTATTAGTCTGAACCACATTCATCAGTTTTAACCTTTCCAATTAAAAAACTCTCTCCCGTTCCCGTTCCGCTCTCTCTTGTTCACGTTCCCGTTCTGCTCTCTCTTGTTCACGTTCCCGCTCTGTTCTCTCTTGTTCATGTTTCCGCTCTGCTCTCTCTTGCTCGGTTATTTCTTCTGCTTTTCTCTGCTCAGCCGCAGCCCATTCTTGCCGCGTATTCTTTCACAGCTTCTTCTTCATAGTCCTCGGCATTTAGAATAGGCTGCCTAATTTCTCTTACTCTATTTGCCTGAGACACATTTGTTTCAAACTCCTCCGCTAACTCCAATAGCAGAGCTTTAGTATATTTCCTCATAAACTCACCCATTATGGAAAATTAAAAAAAATAACCTAACCTACCCCGAAATACAATAACACAAAAACAACAACAGGTCTATCTCTTCAAAACTCATAATTCCCTAACAATTCTGAACACAAATTGCCTTACAACACTTAATGATAATACCTATGCCTACAAACAAAGCGTATATAAAAAAAATGCTAATTAAGAGACGCAACCTTTTCCTGCTCTATATCCAAAATAAGCCTAGTCTTCGAATAACTGGCATAACCTTCTCCAAAATCACAAAAATGGTATTCACCAATTTTGAAGACACCTTTCGATTGACTCTTCCTGGCACTACTTGGATATTCTTCCGGAGAAATTTCACTATTTTGCAGCACTAGATCACGCTTCCACCGGCGTTCCCTTCTGACACACTGTCACTTGTCTCACTGAAAGAGGCTTCACCACGCGAACTGTCCTTGCACGCAAAATTAGATCGTTCTTGAAGAGAAGAAAGTCTTGACTGTTAACAGGTGAAAAAGTCCGTTCCTAAATTTACTCTCAGGAACAATCCCTAAAAGCTGCCACCAACTTTTAATATTTACTGCTGTGTGTAGTGGCCGAAACCGCTATGCAAACCCTGGGTTGTGACATCAGGTTGAAAGCAAAACACAGCATAATAAAATTTATTGAATGCTAAAAAAATGGCTACATACAATTCTGCAGAGAAAAACCTATCTTCTTTCAAAAATCAAATTCTATACATTTTACGTGCGAGAGCAATTCGTGGCTCTCGAGCTTGCGCTTTTAACATTGCCAACGATTTAATTATTTTAATAAAGACTATTTTAACAGCTATTGAGAACGTGTTTGTAAGTTAAAAAATAACAATTTTCAGCTTATTCTAACGAGACATCCTTGTCCATATTAATCTTCAGTCACTTCTTCTTTTATGTGACCTTATCACAAACCACATACATTTAAAAAGAAAATTAGGAACTTCGCACCTTATAAATACTCACTTCTGATCAAAAATGAAGCCCTCAATGCAGTTCAAATCTTTACTATACCATCCAGCTGGTTTGAAGTTTAATTCAGCTCTTACACCATTTGTATGGCATGTTATGTCCATTGTACCACACTAATAAGAAACATAGAAATGAATGAATGAAAAAAAAAAAAAAAAAAAAAAAAGAAGAAGAAGAAGAAGAAGATTGACAAGTAAAATTTATTTTAGCAGCACCTGCTTAATGCTTTTTCAGTGTTAAGCATAATAAATCCAAAATTTTGAGCAGCTTAATAATTGAATCAATCCAGATGTTCAAACAGAAAGAAGAAAAACAAGAATTTTTTAAGAAGAAATATGTAAAGAGATAAAATGGTAATTTTCACAGTTATACAAACATTAGCAAATAAATTCCACTTCAGTTATAAAAATCACCAGTTTTACATTAAAATTTGAAACTGATATATAAGGAAGATATACATATATGTTTCCATTATAAAATAAAATAAAAAGTATTTAATGATTGAAATTGCATTTAAAACTCAAACTGCCTAACATGCATATAACCGAAAGCAAAAGTTACATATAGCATACAAATTATTTGTTCTACTTTAATGAAACATAATTATATAAAATATTAGATAAAAATCAAACACTCATAATTAGTGGTGAGAGTTGCAAGCTCCTGTGAGTCTTTTTTAATTTTTTCTGAAATTCGTGAGCCCCCTCTTAGTTTGGATCTAGAACGTATTACTTACAGATGAATATGCACCTGTTATAAATAAGGCTTTAAATTCATATGGAATATTTGAAATTATTTTAAAATTCATTTAACTACATTTTGTTTTTAAAAGCTAGTGTTATGTTCGGAAGAATATCGGGGAGTGAAATTAATCATTTTGAAATATTTCTAGAAAAATGCTATTTTTATCACCTGTTTCTCCAAAATCAGTGAATATTATATGATGGACAGCACACAATTTATAAATCACTCTTGTTATGTGAAAGAAATATTTAGTTCTGTGTAGGTATTTTACACTGAATGATAAATATAAGGGGTTTTTTAAGCTGATTCTAAGTTTAGAATTTTTAAAAACCTGGCACTGATGATCGATATATGTATCATATTATGATTTTTAATTTTAAAACTTAATTTTAAAAAATTTCTTTTTTAGCTCATGCAAAATTGCTTACATTTTTTATTTTTCATAAAATTTAAATATTTCATTAGAATTTAATCATTTGTTTTTACAGGATAAATACAAGTCCTTCCTTAAAATTTTCATAACTCACCGCTTCTGTTTATGATGTAATTTTAAGTAATTTCAGAGTATTCATTAGCACTTGCTTTTACTGAGCGACTTAATTTATATATCATAAAGAAAAATATGTTACACAGAGAATTTACTTTTTTGTAATTCATCTATATGGTCATATCAAAATTTCAAACACACAAATTAATTTTGTATTATTATTATCAGACAGTCTAAATAATAAAAAATCTCGAACCCATGAAGAGATTTATTTTGTAATATTATCAGACAGCATAAATAATAATAGTACCTGTTCCATCCATAGCTTTCCAACAATTATGTTATGTACACAACATGTTACACCAGTCCATGTATAAGTTTCATTATGCCTAGTAAGATGTGAAAATTTATTAATTAAGACTAAAATAATGTTTTGAAATTTCATCATAAGCTTATAATCCTTTTAAAATGGTATATAAAAACAAAAAGGCATTTTTTTACAAAAAAATAAAACAAAAGTTTATGCATATTTACTCATTACATAAATTAATACATCTCAATTTATATGCATTAACTAACGTTAACTTTTAAAGAATAACTTAATACTTTTTTTTTAGCTTTTTATACTTTCCTATCTGATCACAAATTCTCAAAAATATTCTTCCCCCAAAAGTAATTTTTTTTACTTGAGCTCCTGACTATCAAAATTATAACACCATGATGGACAAAAGCTTACACAACCACATTTGCTTATTAGGTACCTCATAATATAAAGTGATTAAAAATGCAGTAAGTTAAGATACAAAAATAAGTACTGCACATAGCCATCAGAGGCAAACATAATTGCTACTATCTATCTTAGCACTGAGTGGTTTAGATTCTAGATGGCAGCTTGGTTTATTACATTTCTTAACGCTTCAAATCTTTACAAGATTTCACTTGTTGTAACTAGTGGTGGCAATTGTTGTGTCCACTTCTGTGCTTTCCACGGATGTAAAAAGATTGTATGAATATGCTATTCAAACAACAAACAGTGCATAGAATCATGTATAAAGGAAATGCCAAGATGTAATAGACCATGTATCCTGTTGATAGGTTACTTCACAGAAACCCTGAAATGGGTTCTGACACTTTAAAATGTAATGCTGGTTGGTCAGAGTACCAGATATACATACAATGAAACTTTGGATCATGACAAAATGACAAATTATGCCTCAGATAATTTGGCAATATATGATAATATACGATAATCAAAAATGAAGAGGAAGGATGGTCAGGTGATATGTGAGCTTCATGTAAGGTGATATCATAGCAAAAATGTAATCTTCATGTAAGCTTCTGGGCAAAAGCATCATAGGGTAACAAGACACGGATATCAGAAAGTCAAGTCGCTATATGACTTTTGCTCAGTGCTGTGCATTTATGTTCTTGCTTTTGCTTAAATTTTATTGTGATTTGTATTCTGAAATATGAATTTTTAAATAAGATTCTAAGGGGAGAAAAAAAGATAATGATCACAGCAAAATGAAAAGAAAAATGACTACAATCATAACAGAGGTAAAAAAAGGACATATATGAAAACGGTGCTCTTGCCTCTGATCTTGCTGCTTAATTTGGTAAAATCAATTATATTAACTATTTCACATACAAATAAAGAATCGAAGAAGTAGGCGTTGCAAGAGGTGTAACATTAAGCTCACAGGCAACTCAAGAAGTGAAAAAACTGCTGCTTATTTGGATAGATCCTCAAATGTTTGCTGGTAACAATATTTCCAAGTGCATCATTTGCGAAAAAACTAGGTGAATGTATGATGAACTGGTAAAAAAAATATACTGGTATGAGTGCTGATAAAGATGCTTTTAAAGCTAGCAGACAGTGATTTGAGAATTCTAAGTAACGAAGTGGCAAAAAGTCATAAAGGAATTTGAATGAGATTTCAGTGAATACTTAAGAGCAGAGAGATTTCTTCTTTGACAAATGTTCGACTGGAATGAAATCAGTTTGTTTAAAAAAAAAAAAAAAAAAAAAAAAAGGAAGAGTCCCAAGAAAAACATACATCCAGAAACACGAGGGTCTGGATACAACTAAAGGATACATTGACTCTCTTGCAATATACATTTGCAATATCTTGACTGGTACGCAAGGTTAGCTTGGCCTTAAAGAGAGACTTATATACCACTCAAGATAATCTGAGGGTGTTTAAAAACAATGTGATAAGAAGAAAATTATTCATTATATACAGGGTTGTATAGCAGTCAAGATAATCTGAGGATGCTTAAAAAACAATGCGATAACAAGAAAATTATTCATTATGTACAGGGTTAACTGCAGAGTTCAGGTTTTAAGAGGAAATTTTTTATTGGGTGGATCCAGAAGTCACTGCTCCAGGTGTGAAGAAATACTTACAAGGAAACAATCTGCTATAGATCTGCTTTCTAGTGATAGATAAGGCACCTTTTCTTCATTCAAGTTTCGTAGACAAAATGTTGGAAGAGTCAGATTTCATCACAGTGAAATGCATGCCTCTTAATATGACTCCTCTAATACAGTCCATGAATAACCTGCAGTAGTAACTTCCTGGATCCACCCCAAAATAAAAAATTTCTTATTAAAACTTAAACCTTACAGTTAACCCTGAACATAATAAATAATTTTCATTCTATCGCATTGTTTTTTAAACACTTTCAGATTATCGAGTGGTATACAAATTATTGCCAATCCATTTATGTTTCAGATTTCAAGAAGCTCTACACAAAGCCCTTTCCCAAAGGTGTTTAGAGATAACCTCTGGTACACTATTAATACTCAAAGACTCTTGGAAACATCACTAATATTTCCCATGATTTAACTCTCACAGATTAATTCTAGCAGCAAGCAACTAATAATACCATAAATTCAGCCTGGAAAAAACTATGTTCCAGGGAGAGATTCTGAGTGATCTGACACTGAGGAAGTTTTTGTTAAAGATATTGTGCTTTTAGGCAAAAACATGGATTGAGAAGTTAGCAATGAAGATGAACAAAAGTTGCTAGAAGACTACAAAATTGACCTCAGCACAGAATTGGAAGAATTTCAGAGGAAGCAAGAAAAAGGCAACAGTGGCAGAAATGTCCACAAAGAAGAGAGACTATTGCTATATACTTCCTCTGTGAAATATTTGAAAAATGGGATGAGGTGCAAAGTTTCATAGAACATTATCAGCCTCATAAAGTAATACTAAGCCATAATATTAAGTATTTTCAATGACAATATTACATCTTACTTTAGGAACATTTTAAAACCTAGAAAGAAACAAATCACGCTAGACAAATTTTTACTGGGATTTACAAATACAGATGAGCAATGCTAATAGAAAGAAAGAAGAGAGGAGGAGGGAGTAGAAACTTTAATGGGCTAATTGGATATTTGCATAGAAAAGTGTCCCACTTTTAAACAATACAGTTTATCTTCTTTCTTTCTTCACTAATTTCAACTTATGCTGTAAACTTTCTTTCATACAAATATGACAAAACATAATTAAATTTTCCTGTTTTTCTATATGTTTACTATTGCATTACATTTACCAAATTCAACTGGTTTTGTATTACTAACTTGTGTACAAAAGACTCTTTTACAAGCCATCACATGAGGTTCAAGAACAAATGAACTTCATTTTACACTAATTTCTACAGAGAAATCATTTTGGTAACAAATTACCTTCAGGAATGACTTGAATTCCTGAACCAAGGTTTTACTTTACTAGACACAAGTAACATTTATATCCAACAGCATCCAATACCGTAACTTCCAAGTGATGAGCTGATACAACAATTTATAATTACAAGATCCCTATGATGCCATCACACATGGGCACAGCCATTGTGCTGCTGCATGTAATAAAGTTTACATATAAAGTTCAATAAAGTTTATATACAAACTTTAAAAGCAAGACTTGTTTGAAAAGATTATGTCATACATTGATTAATCGTAATGACTGTCATACATTGTCTACAGTAGATTAAGACAAGTCAAATAAAATTTAATATGGAAAAATACAATTCAGATGAAATAAAATTACCGTTATAGGAATAGAATGGAATTTGTCTAATATAAGTTTCATTAATTCAATAAATTTAATTCGTTGCTGGGATACATTTTCCTTAGTAAAAGCTAAAAATAAAATACTGGGAGATTCAACATGATGAAAAACTGGAAGAGTTGGTAGTTATGTCATCCGTAATCACTGAAACTTTAAAGGCACTTCATCGTATTTTATGAAATGAAATGATTATATGCTAGCCATGCTTTCTTCCGCCTATTAACATCTTATGCAAAAAAGCATGCTGATGCATAATATATACCTACAGGAATGCACAGATGCTGATCTTGCTTTAACATGTACTTCTCAGCATATTCCTGAACATTTCAGTCTCCTATGAAGTGATTCCCTTCAGATCATATAAATACACAGCTAGGAATTCAAAATGTAAAACCATGGAGAACAGAGATATAACACAGTTATGTTTATTGGACAAATATTATATGATACTAGATGGCTTTTCAAGCAAACAACCAATTCTTAAATAAATTTTTTGTTGCCAAATGAGCGTTTTCAGAGTTTTTAATTAATATTTTGCAACAAACCGCAACAATTGAAAATTAATATCTTGAGCAGCCCACAACAACCAGTTTGTAAAAGAAGTTTTCTGTTGCCAAATTAGTGTCCTCAGGGTTTTTAATATCTTGCAACAATCAATAATTAATATCTCGCACAACCTGCAACAAACAATTCATATATAAATTTTTTGTTGCCAATATAGCATTTTCAGAATTTTCAATTAATATCTCAGCTGATTAAAGTTATACAAAGATGAGGATGGATGAAAAGGTTTCCCACGCATCTGTGGAATTGGGGGAGTACCTCTGTCGAAACTCAACTCCCTGCCATTCTGGAGGAGATTATGTTAAAAACAATCAGAAAGACATGCACATATTTCAATAGCATAAACAAAGAGCAGATTAATTAAAATTACAGCACTCTTCAACTTGTGAAGCATGAAAAATCAGTAGCCATCATGGCAATAACTGCTGTAACATGTCTTGCCAGATAAGCTTTCGATATATTGCTGGGGTATGTTAAATCATGCTGTTTTCACAGGATGCCAAAGTTCATCTACCATAGTTGCAGGAGGTATATGCTGCCCATACACATTTGATGGGTGGCACATTCAGGAGCACTAGCTGGAGGTGGGAGAGCAAAGAAGCACTGTGACAAGGTGGACAATAAAAAATGTTAACACAACTATACTGAAACTTGGTCGCAGGCAAGTCTTGAAAGGTAAGAGAGGATCACAGGCTCCAAAGCTTCAGAGATGCAACTATATCTGCAATGTGTAGTATTAAGTAGATGTGGAAGTAAATTTCAACAGCATATCATAACTCCACGTAACAGACCAGTATGGTGATGCATGATGCACGGGTCATGATTCTGTTACCATAGTACCACTAGACTTGAGTATGATCATTGAAGGTAGAATTGAGATTTATCTGAAAAGACAATGCTGTAGATTTTATTCACATCTGGCAGTCACTGTAGATTTTATTCACATCTGGCAGTCAATGCTTCACTAAAGCTACATATGCCCATGGTACATCATGAAATGGCAGAAATGGATGCCTTATAAGACCCCCTCCACTACAAACAACATTGAATAAGTATGTACTGAGAGATATTGTTATGCAGAAGATCCTAATTCTTGCATTAGGATTCCTGTTGTTGTAAGCAATTCATCATTGTCATGAGCACACTGATGTCCTCTCCTTTGAAGGTGTGCAAGAGTTCCGACTAACCAGCCGGTTCTTTTTGCACTCACTGACTAAATTTCAACCAGCATAAGCAGTGATTGTTTTGGAAGAATAATTTACAACTTCTTTAAGGCACAATTCTTAATCCGTCAATCCAGAAATTTGTTAACATAACTATGGCCTGTTTTGGGGAGGAGGGGATGAGTGTGACATATTGATGTTTTTTACATGAAAGCACAATGAGAAAACAATTTCTGTACTTAAATACCTTACTGTTCTCAATTTTTACAGTGCTTCTAGATGGTAAAACTGGCACACGTGAGTTGCATACCAGTTTTAACGCCATATTTTTGTAGTCCTATCGAGGTCTACACACAGTTCAAAATTGTAGCCTATTGAATGTTTTTTTCATGGTTTTGCGTGGGCAGCAATGTAATCAACTTTAATACAGAGAAATGTAACTTAAAACTTTAATACCATTTTTTTTCATTTTAAGAAAAGTTATGAATGCATGTCTTAAGGACAATATTATACATAAATTGGGCATTTAGTTAGAATATCAAGTAAACTACTATTAAGACACAATTATTGTGAATTCATGAACAGTCATTACAAATACAAGAAATATATTTTTTAAAATTCTTACTTAAGAAGTTTTAATATTACAGTTCCTTCAGGCTTTATTTCAACAGATCTTGCCCATAATTTTAATTTTGGATGTATAGCTCCAGTAAATATAAAGTGCGCTGAATCAGCATGGAAAGCAGTCACAGGAGGATGATGACTCACTTGTTCAGTAATTATTCGAAAGCCTTGATCTTCCCTAACAGATATATAAATAAAGACTTAAATAGTCAATGAAATGCAGCATAAAAAATAAATGAGAAACATTTTTTTTATTTAAATAAATTAAGACTGCTATGTGGTATAAAGATAACTTATTTAACGCATCTCTTCAATTCTAAGATGCTAAAAAAACATGACACATAAGAACTTGTTTTCCCGCATTTCATTCATTTAAGAAATTATCACAAATGCTCTTGAAATATAACACAGTGGTCTTAAAAGTGCATTTCGTGGAACCTCAGAGTTCCATTAGTCAAAATTACTTACAAAAAGAAAATTTTAAAGCCCGCCACTAAAGTTAGATGGGAGTTCCTTGCAAAAACCTTTTAATTCTAGGGGTTCCGAAAGTTGGCAAAATTTGAATACCACTTGCAGGAGCCTAATAATATTGCAGCAGGCACAGAAAATTAAGCAATAAAATGATAAAAATTTCATGTTATATATTGAGATTTATTAACATGGAAGTTTTCAGACAGATTTATACTAAAAACTATATATATATTGGTCCTTTCTGATTATCCAGGAAAGTATTCATGAGACAACACACTATGCCACCAAAACAAGCAGCCACTAATGTTATAAAAATGCACTTATGTAGCAATCCAAATATGCTTTCAAGCGCAGCAGATGACAGCTGATTTCCTTGAAATTTAATAGTCATCTTACTGATTAGTGTTTGTTTTTGTAGCATAATCTGCTGGAATTTGTTGGCTCATAAAAAAGAAATCACTGCATTCCTTCAGTAATATGATGCTTTGTCTAATTGCAGATAATGCAGAAGCAGAAAGAAACAGATTGCTATGTACATAGAACGACAGCTTGGGGCAAACTGCACAAAATTAAATTTTTTATTATGAATTATTTCTTCCATTTTTAATTTTGTTAATTTGTCACTGTTTTATGTAATTCTTAATGTGGTGGTATTTTTAAAAATGACAGCTGTCTTTTGCATATTAGCTTGGTGAAAAATTAGTAGCCAATGGTTGGCAACTTTTCAGAAGGGTATGTGTGGACAATTTAAGTACTATTTTTTTTAAATTATTACTCCTGTGGCAGTCCCTACATAAGTTTGCCACGATTGCCATTGTCTGTGTTTCCATCTATTAGCAGACTGGATGCGCAGAACAACATGGCCCTCAACGACGTTGAAGGTAATAAATGACCTTGGGCCTGTTTTAGAGAAGTTAAATATTGGAATACCATTGCAAACACACATAGGTGCAATCACTTCCAATATTTGGATTTCTTTTCCTGCTGTGAGTGTCTGATAAGCACTTGGGACTATTACAAACTTTCTTTCTAACATTTGTGATGTGATATGACAGGGGCATGACTCATCATTGCTACCGAGTCCATGCTGTGCACATGGTTATGAGCCTTATGCATTGATGGTTTGTGTCCTATGTTCCTGTCTATTTCGGCCCTTTTACAGTGGGGCATGGCACAACTATATGTGATGCCATTTGCCTTCAGCTGAGCATAGATGAATATTTTTGTAACACTTGTGGTCAAACAGGCAATCATATTTTTTGTTATTAAGAGAAATACAGGGCTATACTGCCCTAATGTCTTTGAATGTGGGAAATTACATTGAGAGGGGGGAGATACTGGGTCTGTTTCGTACAAATCAAATAATGTACTGCCATTGTAAAAATGCACCTGTGCAATACATTCGAATATTTGGATCTGTTCCCTGCTGTCAGCATCTGAGTGGAATCAGGAATGCTACTTACCTCAAGCAACTGGTGGTTTGGCTGTGTATGCTACTGCAGCACAAAGCTCTAACATGTTTATTAATTATCAATGAAAAGCTTAAATTCATAACATTATAAACAATATCAATAACAAATTAACAGTATAATATTAATAGCTGTACTGAATAAGCTTTCAATGGTAAGTATAGTTATTTTCATTATGCGAAGATCTTGTACATAGTACATCCCCCCTGCCTGAGAGTTTCAGAGCTTTCTGCAGATACTTGCTCTTGTCTGGTATATTCTGCAGACTGAATTACTTATAACCTTTCAATGTCTCTGATTTGTTATTTTTGAAGATGATATTATTAGAGGAGCTGTAGAATCATTGGTCAATGAAGCCCCTGAAATCAAGAGGCTCTGATAACAAACACAATGCAGATTGCTAAAATCCTCTGACAATAGTCCTGAAATTACAACTTTTGTAATGTCAAGCAGAGATATCAAAGTGAAAGTTATTGATTCTTTAATGTCAGAACACATCATTTCACCTCTTAATAGCTCTACTGTCTAGCTTCACCCTTTAGGTTAAGACTTGTGAGATGATTACACAAATCTTCTTGTTATCTGCCTTATCCCTCTATAAGAAATTTTAGATGTAAAGATTTGAAAATTATTATTATAATTAACATAATTTATCCTAAAGTATGCCTAAAATAAGTAGAGGGTGATTCAGATTAATTTGCATTTTTACAGTATATACTGGGTTAAAAAAAAATCTTCAAATTAAATAAGCAAACTATGTCCCAAATTCTCAAAGTATTTAAGCTACCTACTAGGAGATAAAATACACATCATAATACCTTCTGAGTTCGTATGTTTCACCAAGTAAAGGATTAAATGGTTTTCCTAATCTCTCCCAGTTTGATGAAATGCAAGCAACAGCAAATGCCGAGACATACTGCAAATGAAAGAAAAATGAAATGATTATTTAACAAAGTAGAAGGTTCAGTTTTAGATGTTAATTTTTTTCTTAATAATGTAAAACTTTGAAACATCTAAAGACAATGACATATACGTAAGATTACATAATAGATTCCTTTCTAGTGAATTATCAAATCTGGTGAAATTTTAGTTAGTAACAACAGCTGGCAAGTTTCTTGATTAACTCAATTAGCTGGATATTTTAAGAAATGAAAAGAGCAGTTGTAAGTATTGACAGCATATGACGGCAATATTTCTGAAATTCAAAAATTGGAAGTAATTAAATTAAGCTAAAAATTAAATTTTAATTCATAACACTGAAGTAATATTTGAATTTTTTTTGGGGGGGGGGAATTATAGGAATAATATCTGAAAGTGAAAAATATTTTACAATTTCTGTAATTCAAACTGGATTTTCCCCCAATAATCAGTGACACTATATAAAAGACTATAGTGCAGTCATAAAAGTCACCACATAACAGTTAAATTGGCAGCACATAAAAGTTCCATTTTAATCACTAATAAATAAACACACATATAAAAGAACTATAATAGGTAAATTATACAAATGGAAAATAAGTTAATATTTCATTACTTATTATTTTACATTCAAATTAATTTAGCAGCTTAATATTTGCTTGTGTTCAGCACCACTCATAAATTGCTAAATATACACTGCTCGACATTGAAAATGCAACACCAAGAAAGAGTGGTCAGAAAGTGATGAAATTTGGAAAAAAGACAGAGACAGCAAGCAGCAATAAGTGATCTTTATTTCAAAATGATAGTCAGAATACAGAGCGAGAACGGCGTCGGCTCAGTAGGATGTAGGACCACACCGGACAGCGATGCACAAAGAAACACATTGCAAACGGCATCCAGCCACATCCCACACATGTTCGATTGGTGACAGGTCAGGAGAGTACGGTGGACAGGGAAGCATCTGTATACCTTGCAGAGCACGTTGGCAGATGCGAGCACTGTGTGGTAGGGCATTATCCTGCTGAAAAATTGCATTTAGGCAGCTCCTGAAGGTAGGGGATTGCCACCGGCCGCAGTACATTACCCAAGTATTGTTGGGTCATCATAGTGCCCTGAATACGAACTAGAGGTGACCTGGAATCGTAGGCAATAGCGCCGCAAACCATTATGCCACGTTGTCGTGCGGTGGGGCATTCCACTGTTACTGCCGGATCAGATCTGTCTCCACATCGACTCCACACACATATGGGGTGACTGTCACTGGATAAAGAGAACAGTGACTCATCTGAGAACAAGACATTTCACCATTCTGTCATCCACATCGCTCCAGTTCGGCACCATTCTAAACGTTGGCATCTATGCTGTGGGGTCAATGGCAGTCTTCTTAACGGACGCCGTGAGTGCAGGACACGTTCAACCAATCGACGGGAAATGGTTCTGGTCAGCACGAGAATATCCAGGGTATCTTGCACATGCTGCAGAATCGTGGTACAAGTGACTTGCGGGACCGCCACAGCTTGTCGGCGGATGCGTCTATCCACGTGTGCTGACGTCACTCTGGCTGCACCTGCACCCCTCCTTCTTCCCACATTTCCTTACTCCAACCACATTTGCCTTAGCCGATACACCGTGCTCGCATCCATGTGGGTACCAGCTGCGATTTGACGTAAGGACCAACCCGCCCTTCTCAGTCCGATCACCATACCCCTCATAAAATCGTCTATCTGCTGGAAGTGTCTTCGTTGATGGTGGGCTGGCATTCTCTCCTTATCCTCTGAGACAAAAAACCAACTCAATTCGATAATTCATCTGGCAGAAATAACGACATGAATATTGCCCAATTTACACGTTACTTCCCTTATATCTTACTTCACATACATCGGAGAGCTGCACATTCCACATCATTCGCATAACTCAGTGAAGTGCGTCTACTCTAAAATTTGCATAAATTTTCTGACCACTCCTTCTTGGTGTTGCATTTTCAATGTCGAGCAGTGTACATTTACAGCTACTAATATTGATGATAAAAGCACCTAATTTAGAAATCTTTTAGTCACATGACATCCATGTGAATAATTGAAAAACTTATAATAAAGAAATTTTTGAGTGATTTTTGCAGTTTTTTTTTATACGGCTACAATAACTTAAATGGATAAAATTTAAGACAACTTATGAACAAGTAATGCTTCAAGTAACACTTTTATTAACTAAAAGATACGAAATGAAATTATCTAAATACGCTAAATTTCTCATAAAATTAGAAAAATAACTGTTTCACCTGAAACTCAACTCACCTAAACTAACACAAATGAACTATATATGGATATTTACCACTTCCCTCACTGCTAATTATTGCAAAACATTTTGTGCTTAGTTAAAATATAAATACCTTAAAACCTTAACAACCCCAAAAGTATAAAATACAAAATAATTATTTTACATCAGCACAGAAGCTATCAGTCTTATTCACAACACATCTTTAATTTTTCATAAACAATGCTGCTTTTGGTAACAAATATTCTGTTAAAAAAAAAAAGTAAGAGAGAGAGGAATACAGTAATGCATTTATGCTCTTTCATTTTTAATTCCGGTAGATATAAAAAGATAAGAAATTACAAAATGGTATTTGAATTTTTCTCATAAATTGCTGTATGATACACATTGAGTGTTCTTTCAACCTAGGATACACGTGGTAGTTGCTGGGTACCTAGTCCAGACTTGGTGGGTGGATGATGATGCTCTCTTGCAGTCTTCCATTGAAGACTTTCAAGAGAGTAACAGTTTGACAGGCAATGTGTGGGCAGGCATTATTGCAGAGAATGCTTATGCCTTTGCTCAACATTCCTCACCTTTGCTTCTGAATTGCTCTTCTGAGTTTTTTCAGTGTTTCACAGTACCTGTCAGAGTTTATTATGGTCCCAGCATGCTAAAATTGACCAACAGCACCCCCTTCCATTCCCAAAACACAGTTGCCATTATTTTACCAGAATATTGTGTTTGAATTTTCACAGCTTGGCAAAGAGAGATGCTGCCACTCACATGACTATTGTTTTATCTCAGCTGAAAACTATAATGCCCAGGTTTTGTCATCCATGACAATCGAGTTCAAGAACTTGTCCTTTTCACCTGCAGAGCAGTAAAGAGAAATTTGCAGGAAGATTAAACTCATTGCTGTTTGTTGTCTTCTGTCAGCATAAGTGGTACCATCTTGTACAGAACATCTGATACTGAAACTTTTATGTTAGAATCCTGTGGATGGTACTTTGAGAAACCTTAGGAATTAGTCTGGATGCACAGAGCATCAAAACGGGTCCTCCAATCTTTATACATGTTTTTCTCAATCTTGGTGGTCTCATTGGAAATTGAAGATCTATTTATCCTTTCTTGGTTGTTAATTTCATTATGACTGGCTGTAAACTCTCTACACCACTTGCAAATGTTTTTGACATTCATGCATGACTGTTCATGAACTTATCTCAACTGGCGATGAATTTCAACTGATTGAACGCCTTTTACATTCAAAAAGTGAATAATTGCAGAATTTGACATTAGGCATTAGCATTCAATGGGAGCTCTATTGTGAACGGCTGCAAGCCAAGACTTGGCTTTCCAGTGAAGGGCGTGCATGCTTTTTTGGAAGTGTAGGAAGCGCCACTCACAACAGTATGGCCAACAACCATAGTAACAGATTCACTACATCCCCACAAAATAGCAGACCTTATTTTTAGACTGCCCTCATATTATCCTTTTGATAATTCAATAAAAATTATGTATAGCATTGATCTTTTATAAATAATAATAGAATAAATATAAAACAGTAAATCCCTAATAGTCGAGCATTTTTTAAAAATTTAAATTTTCTTGCTTTTAACAAAGATCACAGTCTTCTACATTTCTGCAATTACTTAATTCATGCTCTAGGAATGCAGAAAGAACTGCCATGTTTGCAAAGTTTTTCTCAGCCAACTGAAAATCATAGAAAATTTTGCATTACTTTAATTAAGAAAAAATTTTCACTGCTAGTTTCAGTAACATGAAGTATTAAAATTGACGTCCACAGTCCACCCGCCAGTGATCAAGGGCTAAGACCCCCCTGAACACCAGAAGAGTGGAGGATAGGGTGGCAACATAAGTGATGTAGAAGGAGAGACAATAGAAAATAGACTTAGAAATACCTTTGTAAAGTAAGACAGTCTTCTTTACAAAGAATATTGTAAGAATTCTTGTAAAATAAGATAGTCTTAATGTGCTTTGCCTACTTTATTATAATTCAGAAGAAGAGGGGGACTTTTCAAAGGTGTCCAACCGAAAGTATACAGTCCTTGCCTACTTTATTATAATTATTAAACAATAATGTTTATACATCTTTTATCATTTCAATTTAACAAACATTCTCTATTCATAAAAAGCAAATTTAAAGTTAATTTTTAAAATAGATCTAACAGATACCAGCTTCACACTCAACCTTTTATTAGTGCCCTCTATTTATAAAGTTAGAAGATACTTAACATCACTTAGTTTGGCATGCTGCTCCACCCTAAATTACTCAACTTAACCTTTTATTAGTGCCCTCTATTTATAAAGTTAGAAGAAACACACTACTTAACATCACTTAGTTTGGCATGCTGCCCCACTCTAAATTACTTTGGTTTTCTAAAAAATTTGGTTTTCTACTCTTAATTGACTTTAACTTTTAATTCTAGTCTTTATTTGCTAATTTATGAAAATTCCACTTGCTTAAATTTCTTTTTAGTAATTCACAACATTTGGTTTTATTTTTGGTTTTGAATTTTCCTTTTACCCTTGCCTACTTGGATGACGAAACATCAATTGAATAACTGAAGAGTTAGGTTTGGAGGCAACTTCCCCTTGATAAGTCTGTCTCCTGCCTGCTGAACAATTATTCACTTATGCATTTTTTATAAATCTTTAGGATTAAAAAATGTATTGGAATTATATATTATTCATAGATTTTGATACTTGCACTTGATTTAC